AAGTTTCATGCAAAACATATAAAAATCACTTCTCATTTATGTGGCATCCAAGACTTATCCAATACACAAGTTCAACAAAGTCTCTAGCCAAACACTGATTACATGATGACTAAAACCCACTGGCAGTGAGGCATACAATCACCCACAATTTATTGGAACTATGCACCTCCCCTTAGGTAACTAGCATGAAGACACCAATAGGTGGCAGTAAATAGCAGTACTAAAAGGCCAATGCAGGTGGTGTGGCTGCTGTAGTCAAAACAATGTGTTTGAAGATAAGCAATTTGTTCTTTTTCCCATGAGAATATCCTAACAGGGCTTTCCCTCATGTCCCCCTAACCATGGCATGCATGTGTCCCTGTAACTGTGTGTGTATGTGTGGTGTCCTCATGATGTCATCTTCTCTCACCTCAAGTCACATTTAGGCAGCTTCAAGTCATCTGTTCTGCAGCCAATAAATATGGTCAGTTCCCCATTCAGCTACCCTGGTGTTTTCCCATCTCAGGTTTTAAAAATGCTTTTTGCACATCTCAGAGCTTCCCAGATATTTTAATTCTTCCACCAAGCTTGTGGACACTTCCCTCAAGGAGCCATTTGAGCACATATTATATCAAATTCTGCTTTTTCTTAGGGCATTGATCAATCCATACACTAATGCTTTAGCAGGTGCATGCATAAAAATCATACCTATTTTGTGATTCAGTATTTTTTAATTATTACTCATGGAGCTCAAGGCAGTGCAGTTGTATGTCTCTCCTCATTTAATCTTGTTAACATCCACATAAGGTAGATTGAGCTGGGACATAGGAATTGCCCCAAAATAATCTAATGAGCTCCATAACTGAATAAAGACTAAAAGGCGATATCCTCTGCTCCTATTTAACACTTTCCCACTTCAGAGTGACTCCAACCCTTCAGTCCAGCAGAATTCCTAGTGTGGCTTGCAACATGTATAAATTCAGTACCAATTAAGATAATAATTGGTGAAAATCATGGTGGACTTTCTCTTGCTGTGTCCTGCAGGCTGCATCTACTTAAAAGAGAAAATCAAGATACATTCACTGGATTGTGAAGCATCTCATCTGCTCATTCTCTCAACAAATGGAAAACTTTCAGAGCACAATACTGCAGCCAAAGGAACAAAACCAAGGTAGGAGACCTCCTATTACATGTCAATGGCAAGGCAGTTGTTTCTCAAACCTGAGTGGACAAGGCTCATGGGTGGGAGAACAACTGCCAATCAATTTATTGATTCCATGAATTGTATATAAAGAAACAGATACTTTAATAAATACACTTCATAGAAGAATACAACATTGAAACAATAGGGGTAATTTTTCCCGCAAGTTTCTGCTTTCCTTTTTGCTGTGCTTTTGATCCCTTTGTTATAATGAAAATAAACTTAATGCAATTATTCACCTGAAAGTTTTGTTCTAAAAGAAACAAAGTTGTCACAATTTCAGTGCACGTTAAAAAAAAAGAAAAGAAAAAGATAATCAGATGCCCAGATGGTCTTCTGAATCAACTACTGTCTTCAGGATGACCATAGCAGAATGTCTCAGCTTTAACATGCATGGCACTTTTTCTGCTTTATAAAACTGGAAAGTCCTGGGGACAATATAGAATTCCCAGCATTATGGGAATTATAATCCAACCCACCTGGAGAGCACCAGGTTTGATCAAGTTAACAACAGGATCTGTATTAGTGTTATAAGAATTAAGGGCTCTCTGGCCAGAGCTGTCTGGTACCAGACTACTTTATTGCCTGAACATGGAAAACAGAAAGTAAAGAGAAAGACAGAAGAAATCTGAATATTAGAGGTTGTGAGGGATACCCACGGGGTGAAATATCCTTTCTCTCTCTGGGTTCTCTCTCTGGTTGTGTGCAATTACAAATGGCAAAGCGACTCAAGAAGCGAATAATAACTTTTCAACCAAAGCGTTACTTATTGCTCAAAAGGGTTGTTTACAAATTAAGCTGCAGTTAAAATCCACTCCATGAGAGGCAACAGTCACATAGAAGTAAAAAGCAGGAAAATAATCCCTTTTCACCTAAGTAGCCTCACGTGAACAAGCCTCGATGGTGAGTAGCGCAGATGAGCAGACTCTCCCCCACACAGCTGAGATAAAGGCTTGAGATCCACAGCTTCCACAGGAGACCTGGTTCTGGCAGACCAGCAAGGATTCAAGGCAGGCACTCTCTTCTCCAATGCCCCCCCCCCCATCTCCCCTTTCATTGCTCCAGGGCTTATCTTAAATACCTTCCCCAGCTGGCCTCCACCCCTCTTCACAGGTGATAACACTTCAGAGCCCTGCTTTGATTTAATTAACAAAGTTTGTAAAGGTTACAATCAGAGATACAAACTAGGGCTCCTTCCCATGATCTTATCTAGTTACAAAAGTAGGTTTATAACTCTCTAACACCTAAAGCCTATTTTTCTAACCAGTGATAAATGCCTTATCCACATCGCTTCAAAGTGAGAGTCAGGAAGCTTTGTCATCTACTAAGTAGAACAAGGGAATATACAAAAGACAGGTTATTTCTCACAATCCGGAATCTCCGTCACAGAGGTACATGGAGATTTTTTCCTAATTTCCAAGCTTTCAGAATCAGAGCTGACAATGGCCATTTAGCCCATCAAGCTCAACTGCCACTCAGTGCAGAAATCCAAATTGAAGCACTCCTGATAGGTGGCTGTCTAGCTTTCACGTGAACAAATTCTATGAACTGGAGTTGACCACTACTCTGAGAACTAGTTTCACTGTTGAACGGCTCTTACTGTTAGGTAGTTTTTCTTTCATTCAGTTGGTATTTGTCTGCCTGTAACTTAAATTTATGATTCCATCTTTTCCATTCTACTATAACAGAGAACAGGACTTAACCTTCTTCTATCCTTCCTTCCTTTCAGGTATTTGAAGAGTGCTATCATATCCCCTCTCAGCTGTATTTTCTTGAGGCTAAACATATCCAGCCCCCTCAATCTTTTTTTATACATCTTAATTCCTAGTCTCCTATCAATTGTGTGACCTTTTCCTGAACCAGTTTCAATTTCTCTGAATCCTTCTTGAAGTGTGGTACTTAGATCTTGACATGATACATGATGTGAGGGGATTTGACCAAAGGGAAAAAATGATGGAATGATTATTTCCCATAATTTGGAAATTATGCAGCCTAAACGGCATTTGCCTTTTTTTACAACCATATCATAACTGAACTGATATCCAGTTTCTAATCCAAATTCTGTTCCCAGATCTTTTTCACAGATGCCCTTACCAAGCCAGATACTGTATCTCTTATCCTATAATTCTGCATGCAGTGTTTGTTTTCTACCTGAAGGCATTGTTGTGAGCTGCCCAGAGTCATTGGGAATTGGGTGACCTACAAATCTGATACATAAAATAAATAATGTTGTCTCTTTTACACTTTCAGCTCTTTTTTAACCCACTAAAATTGTTTTGAATCATATTTCTAGTTTCTAGGATATTAGCTGTTGCACCCAATTTTCTGGGTCTTCAAATGGACATGTATTCCCTCCACTTCCTCATCCAAGTTATGAATATAAATGTTCAAGAGCATTTGGCCCAGGACTGAACATTGTAGATACCTCTACAGAACACTAGATACCTCTTTCTTTCAGACTGAACACTAGATACCTCTTTCCAATTGTTGAGGAACTGTTGATGCACAGTCTTTGAGTACAATTTTCAAGCCAGCTACGTATCTACTTAGCTGGATGACAATTGTCTTGCCATCCAGCCCTCATTCAACTAAATTGCTAATCAGAATGCTATAGTACTTTGTCAAACGCTTTGCTGAAATCAAGATATATTAATCTGCAGCATCCCTACAATTTGCTAAGATAGTTTCCTTCTTTTTGACGAATCCATGTTCACTTCTGGTAACCCTTTTCAAGTTACTTGCAGAACAATCTCTTCACTGAGAAGCTGATATTCTGATTTCTTTCCTTAAATAAGCCCTGTCTCATCTCATCTCATCCCATTCCATCTCTCCCCATCCCCTGCTTTCAGACATTAGGGGCTGCTGAAAAAAATTGAGGCTAGCACAGACCATGTCAACAAAGGAAAATTACAAAGTCTACCTTCTAGTGCAGTGTTGTCCAAACTTGGCCTCTTTGAGTGGCCTTCAACTCCCAGAATTCCCCAGCCAACATGGCTGGCTAGGGAATTCTGGGGGTTTGAGTCCACCCATCTTAAAGAGGCCAAGTTTGGACAACACTGCACTAGTGCAAGGAATGGGAGGTGATCTAGCTGTCAGTGAATGTTGTAATTCAAAAATTTTCTTCAAATTCTGTAAACAGATCTTAATGTGATTGAATTGAAAATGGGAGCTAAATTCACTACCCCGGGTTGATCCTAATATTTGATTGATTGATTATGTGCTATCAAGTTGTTTTTGACTCCTAGCAACCACATAGATAGATTTCCTCCATGATGATCTATCCCTGCCTGTTCTTTCAAATCTCCCAATGGTGCACTCATCACTACTGTAACTGAGTCCATCCACCTTGCTGCTGGTCATCCTCTTTTCTTCCACCTTTCCCAGCATTAAACCTTCTCCAGAGAGCTGGATCTTTGCATAATGTGTTTGAACTAGGATAATTGGAGCCTGGTCAGTTGTGCCTTGAGTGAGAACTATTGGTAGTAATATGAAAACATGGAACTATTTTGGGAAGTGAATTTTTCAGTGACAGGTGTTTTTACCTTTGACTGTCTTGTCCAGTCCATATATAAGAGATATCGATGCCTAAGCAACATTATTAGTAAGCATTCCTCCTTTTTTTTTTTTGCAGACTACTGAAAGAATTACGAAACAAACAAATTGTTCAGATTGCATGTGGTGATCATCATTCCATGGCTCTTTCAAAAGGTATTGGCTGTTTGTGTGTTTCTTTTAATAGCTATCTTACTTTCCTTTTGTTTCAGTTGGAATGCCCCAGCTAATTTGCATAAATTATATTATTATAGATATATTTATAGTTTTAATGTTTTTTGTAAGTCGCCCAGAGTCCCGTATTGTGGGGGAGATGGGTGGGGGAGAAATCCAACAAATAAATAAATTAATTAATTAATATTTCAAAATGAAACCCTAAAACCTAGAAGG